CGCCACCAGTCGCCTCCCTCTGTGGGCAACAGGCATGGAGTGCGATGGCTTGGCTAGCCTGGGCCTCCCTCTGTGGGGCAATCGATCGCCGGGGCTTCGCCATCGATAGCCCAGCAGAGGGAGGCCCCGCTCACCGGGGCTCCGCAATCACGGAGGCCGCCCCCCATTGATTGCTTCCCCGGCTGGTGGCCTGGGCCTCCCTCTGTGGGGCGATCATGGAGCGATGGCTGGGCCCCCTTACCAATCGCATCGCACCTGCCTTGGCTGGCCTGGCGCCAGTGTGTGTCATAGTGTGGTCATCCTGATGGTAATTCTGCTGTTTGGTCATTCGGTCAATTTGCATATTACACTTGTATTATTATAGATTATACAAAGACTTTCAAAGCAATTAGTCCAAACTTTTTATTTCTCAGTGACTGGATTACATAGAAAAACACAGCATGCACCAAATCTTAGACTTACTTTAACACTGTGTCTGCAAATTAATGTCTACCACCATTTCCTTGCAGTCTTGAAGGAATGTATTTTGCCTTTAGCTTCAACTTTCAACAGTGTTATACTGAAAAGTGTGTGTGTTGAGGGGGGATTAGCCTTTACTATATCTGGTGCCAAGTAATGTGGGAGGTGCATGCTGAGCCATTGGGAGATTCTGGAAGTGACTCTGATGATTCTTTTGCACATTGTGTTGAGTACACGCTTTCTATCTTTTGAACCTATCCCATTCTTTTTTAATCACCCTGTACAAGGTATTTTAAAAATTAGGCCATCTGTGAAAATTTAGGATCAGAAGAGGTATGTCAGGAATATTCTTGTGGTTTAGTTTTCTATTTGTTTGTTTGTTTTTCTGTTCTAACATGTATTTGGTTTCTCGGTCATAGTAGGGTGACCTGGGGAAGCTTGGAATTTAGGGGTGGATTTGTAAACAGACCTATTGGGAAGAAAATGCTTAAGCGTATATCAGTTCTGCTTACCTTGGCGACATGTTTGTAAAACCCAATCAGACTTAGTAATCAAGGTCTCTGGGTTTTTGCTTTGTTTTGTTTTCCCTCAAGGTCTTCTGGTGCTAGTCTGAGTTTATGTTTTGAACAAAAAGGTTTTATGGGGTTTGACATTCTACCACTTTCTCCTTTTCTCTCTCTTTTTTTTTAAAAAATTATCTTTATTGTTGAAAGTATTACAGATGCCCCCCCCCCTTTTTTTCCCATTGACCTCCTCCACCCCACACCTGTCCCTCCCAGTCCTTTATCACACTATTGTCTTCTTTTTAAAAAAATATATTATATTGATTTTTTACAGAGAGGAAGGGAGAGAGATAGAGAGTCAGAAACATCGATGAGAGAGAAACATCGATCAGCTGCCTCCTGCACATCTCCTACTGGGGATATGCCTGCAACCAAGGTACATGCCCCTGACCAGAATCGAACCTGGGACCCTTTCAGTCCGCAGGCCGACGCTCTATCCACTGAGCCAAACCGGTTTCGGCTATTGTCTATTGTCTTATGCATGTAAATTTTCTGCTTAATCTCTGCCCACCCATCCACCCCCACCTTCCTTCAGAAATTCGTCAGTCTGTTCCATGCCTCTATGTCTCTGGATCTATTTTGTTCATCAGTTTATTTTGTTCATTAGAATCCACGTATGAGTGAGATCATGTGATACTTACCTTTCTCTGACTGCCTTATTTCACTTAGCATAATGCTCTCCAGTCTATCCACGCTGTTGCAAATGGAAAAGAGGGAACTTTCCTCTTCATCTTAATTCTTTTTCACCAGGCCATGTCCACTTGCCTACTAATCTGTTAGTTTCCCACAGTTGCTGTAACAAAAGACCTCAAACTGGGTGGCTTAGAAGAGAAATTTATGTGGCAACAGGTCTGAAGGCTAGAAGTCCGAAATTAAGGTTGATTGGTTCGACGGGAGACTGTGAGGGAAACTCTGTTCCATGCTTGTCTTCTAGCCTCTGGTCCTTGCTGGCGACCTTTGATGTCCTTTCCAGTCTCTGCCTATCTTCACAGAGTTCTCCCCTGTGTGTGCCTCTGTGTTCTGTCCGTGTCCAAATTTCTTCTTCTTATAAGGATGCCAGTCATTGGATGTAACTGGGTTACATCTACAAAGACAGTTACTTTCTGAGGTTGGGGTTTGCATGAATTTCAGAGGGATGCTATTCAACTCAGTAGAGTCTGCCTCCATTCATATCCATCCCACAAGCAAAATACATTTCCCCTATTCCAATAATCCTCAAAGTCTTAATCCATTCCAGCATCAACTCTTTCTCATAGCTAATGTAAATATCAACTCACAAGGCCCTAAGTCTCATCATTTAAATCATCTAAATCAGGTATGGGTGTATGTCAGTTATATGGCATATTGGAATATGGATTCTGGATTTGGTCCATTCTGGAGCAGAATTCCTCTCCTTCCACAGACCTGTGAAACTAGGAAGCAAGTCCTGTGTCCTCTTCACTTATGTATCTGGCTCCATTCTCAATGCCTCCTTTCTTTCTGCTTTAAGTACCTACTTTCATGCCTCATAAACTTCCTCTTAACCTTCGGACATATGCCTGGCATGAACCACGTGCTGAAATGGCCTAAGGAAAGGCAAAAGTTTCAGTGGAAAGAACATTGGGTGGGTTCCTAAAAATCTGGGCTCTGCTTATGGCTCCCCTGTGGGTCTCAGGCAGGAGTCAGCAAACTTTTCTGTAAAGGGCCAGAGAGGAAATATTTTTGGCTTTGAGGGCTATACAGTCTCTCTGGCAACTGTTCGACTCAGCCATTGTAGTGCAAAAGCAGCCATTGGCCATGCATAAACAAAGGAATGGGACTGGCTTGTAAACTCTATTGGCAAAATGTAAAAGCCACTCTTAACTCATGGTCACGACAAAAACAGGCCACAAGTACATTAAGTCCATGGGCTGTAGGTGCCCACCCTAGTCCTAGGGGAAGCCATAAAACATCCCTGGTCTTTGCATTTCTCCACCTGGCCAATGCAGCCCACACATGCTCTGTCTACTTCATAAGCCAACATGGGCAAAAGGAAGTGCTTTGCAAATTAAACAGCACTCAAGAAATACAAGGTTATTATTGGGGCAAGTTCAAAAGCCAAAAATGGACTCATTGTTTAGGTCATTTTCATCCATTCCTTCTCTATTGTTTTCTGAATAATTTTCTCTGTGGGCTAAAACTGATGACTAAACATGGAACTATAGCAAAGTACCATATTCATTTAAGTCATAAAATAAAATTAGTGTTTATTTGAAACAGTTGATTAGTGAAGACAGGGTTGAACAAAGTCTTCCTTAGGTTTCATTTTTAGTGGTGTATTGCTTCCCTCAATAATTCTTTGCTAAGAATTTCGTTTGATTATCTTTTATTTATTTATTTTTTGGAGCTGGGAACACTTTCTTAACAGTATATATAAGGAAATGAAGAGTGATTTTTTCTTTAAATGTTTGCAAGATTATTGCTCAGCTAGATTGTTTAAAGTCTTTGCCTATTACAGACAGGCTGCTTATGAAAGAAAAATTATCAGAAGGTTAGTTCAGCGTTTGTTTTTTAACCAACATATTTTTTCCAATTAAGATTGAGCCTTGCCCTGGCTGATGTTTCTCAGTGGTAGAGCGTCGGCTCACAGGTTCAATTCCCAGTCAAAGGCGTGTATCTGGGTTGCAGGTTTAATCCCTTGTGGGAGCCAACCAATCCATGTCTCTCTCTCACATTGATGTTTCTCTCTCTCTCTTCCCCTCCCTCCCTTTCACTCTCTCTAAAAATTAATGGAAAAATATCCTAGGGTAAAGATTAACAAAACAAAACAAAACAAAGGTAGAGCCTTGAAGAATATTTTCTTCTGTTTTGCCGTCTTTTATTTGTAAAGAAATGATTCATATGTATTTGTTGGTAAGCCTTACTTATGAATGTCTCTCAGGAGTGCTGTGTGA